AAAAAAAAAAAAAAAAAAAAAAAAAAAAAAATCACTGACAGGAATCTTTGATTGCAGAAGTTTTGTCTGAACAACAAAACAGTTGTTCAGTTGGTGTAATGGAGGAGGATGTCCTCACAGACTGGAAAATAACTAAACAAGGAAATATCACAAATTGGGATGTTGAAATCCATAGGCCATCCCCACCGGCAGAACCTCTGTGGTCAGTTTTCTCTTTCCCACCGTCCCCCAACCTCAGAAGTGTCACTGCAGCTGCTCCTCCCCTTTTTTTTCTCTGAGTGGAGCCCTCCTAGTTTTCTAGAAAGCATGATCTAGTTCTTTTTTTCTTATTTATTTATTTTTGAGATGGAGTCTTGCTCTGTAGCTCAGGCTTGAGTGCAGTGGTGAGATCACTGCAACCTCCGCCTCCCAGGTTCAAGTGATTCTCCTGCCTCAGCCTCCCAGTAGCTGGGATCACAGGCGCACGCCACCATGCCCAGCTAATTTTTGTATTTTTTGTAGAGATGGGGTTTCACCATGTTGGCCAGGATGGTCTTGAACTCCTGACGTCGTGATCTGCCCGCCTCAGCCTGCCAAAGTGCTGGGATTACAGGCGTGAGCCATCGCACCCGGCCTCTGGTTCTTTTTTTCTAACTTGTAGCCATTGGGCTTTTTTTCAGAATCAAATAGGCTATACAGGTGTTTTGCTAGACATTTCCTTCCCCGGGGAATTCTGCCAACAGCTTTTTAAATTTCTTTTTTCTACCAACACATATCTGTTCTGGCCAGGGCAGTAGGACATCGTACACGTACCTCCTACATTTTATAGTTTGCTCTTACAATGGGCGTATGTGTTTCTCAATCCACCTCTGTCAGTTTGGGGGTCTATCTGTGACAATCAATATGAATGACTAATTGTTCGGGCATTTTGTTTGCATCCACCATTGTTGAAAATTCAGTCTCGCCAGGTGCGGTGGCTCATGCCTGTAATCCCAGCAGTTTGGGAGGCCAAAGTGGGCGGATCACAAGGTCAGGAGTTCAAGACCAGCCTGACCAACATGGTGAAGCCCCGCCTCTACTAAAAATACAAAAATTAAATTAGCTGGGTGTGGTGGTGCGCACCTGTAATCCCAGGTCCTCAGGAGGTTGAGGCAGAAGAATTGCTTGAATCTGGGTGGCAGAGGTTGTGGTGAGCTGAGATCGTGCCACTGCACTCCAGCCTGGCAGACAGAGCGAGACTTCATCTCAAAAAAAAAAGAAAGAAAGAAAATTGAGTTTCACGTGGAGAACATGAGTCTCCTCGGGCTGCCATAACAAAATAACTAAATGTGAACTGGGTTCGGCCTCTGACTGAGTGGCTTCAACAACAGACATTTATTTCTTACTGGAAAGTCGAGGATCAAGGTGCAGCAGATGTGGTTTCTGGTGAGGATGCTCTAACTTGTCTTGCAGATGGCAGCTTCTTGCTACATCCTCACACTGCAGAGAGAGGGAGAGACAGAGAGAAAGGATGGGGGGAAGGCAGGGAAGGAGAGAGAGCACTCTGGTCTCTCTTCCTTTTGGTATAAAGCCACTAATTCCATCTCTCTTGACCTTATCCTTAATCACTTCCCAAAACCCCCACGCCCTGCAACTCCAAATACCATCACACTGGGGATTAGGGCTTTGACCTATACATTTTGGAGGAACACAATTCAGCCCATAGCAGGCAGTAATAAAAAATACAAGCGGTGCTCTGCACTTGCAGCAGCTGAAGAACCTAAACGCTTGTGCCTGAAGCCTCCTTTCTGCTTTTCTGGCCTTGCCGGCCTCATGACCAGGGGCTCATGCTGGGCCCAGATTGTCCTTCACAGGGAAGTCAGGAATTTACGTGAAAGGAGCGCTGCAGGCCAGTGAAGAGCTGGCAAAAACTGTCGTGGAGAAGCAATGATCCAAAGACAGCTTTGGGACCTGCTGGCTCAGGGAGACCTGCTAGATGTGGGCCATGTGTGTCCAGAGGTGGGAGATGTGTGTGATGTTCGTCGTGTGTACCTTCCTGTCGCTTCTGTCAGAGCCGAACTCGAATTTGCCATCTCGCTCTTGGAGACTCGCAGTTGAATATTTGCATATCTCTGGAATGTGTCTTAGTCTGTTTTATGCTACTTTAACAGAAGACTGCAGACTAATTTTTTTTTTTTTTTTTTTGAGACAGAGTTTCCCTCTGTTGGCAGGCTGGAGTGCAGTGGTGAGATCTTGGTTCACTGCAACCTCCACCTCCCGAGTTCAAGTGATTTTCCTGCCTTAGCCTCCCAAGTAGCTGGGACTACAGGCATGTGCCACCACACCCAGCTAATTTTTGTATTTTTAGTAGAGACAGGGTTTCACCATGTTGGCCGAATGGTCTCGATCTCTTGATCTCGTGATCTGCCCACCTTGGCCTCCCAAAGTGCTGGGATTATGACATGAGCCACCGTGCCCGGCCAGACTGAGTAATTTATAATGAGCTGAAAATTTATTTGGCTCATGGAGCAGCCTACTATTAGGTCTGAGTCAGTCAGATGGAAAGTTGCCAAGGTAGAAACATCACGGTCAAATCAGTCATACATGCACTTCCCTAGTGAACTCATTGAAAACCAGACCTTCAGAGCCACCCCTGATGGTAGGGGCTGCTGGAAGTGGCTTCTGAAGAGACCCCATTCTGCACCTCCCACTCCTCTATCCACAAAGGGCCTGATTGGGGAAGTGTGCCCTGCAGTGCCCTCAGAAAGACCCTCTGAAACTGCAGACGTTCCCTTTCTGCACTGCCATTTGGTTCATGA